ATGCATTTTTGCTAGTTCAGGGCATCCTGAGATAATATGGTTATCAGTTTCATCATATTTTCCGCAGATCTTGCATTTCGGGTTAGTTCCATTCTTGATTATGTGACAGTGATAGGATCTAGTCGCGAGGCTTTGGTCCTGAACTGCAATAATTTAGCCTTTTGCCTCAGCTTTCAGCCCGGTGCACCTCAGCCACTGATGTGTTTTCTGTTGGTCCACAACTGCTTCTTTCGTTCTTGTTATGCATTTGTCATGCAACGCCTTATCCTCCCAGTTTTGTTGTAATTTCATTTGACCAAGTTGTTTTGCTTTCTATTTTACTCGTTTGGTATAGATGGTATTCGCTTTGTTTTTTCTTGATGGGATTTCAGGTATATTAAGCTGTTTCTTGAAGAGTGCAACTTCGTTGTTGATGGAGTTGATTTTTCTGTTTTACTATTTGTAGGAGAGGGTCATTTTTTGTGAGGCGGGCTTCCAATCCGATTGTTGCAGTTTTTAAAGTTAATTCAAGTTGAATTAGATCTCGACCCCCTAAAGGCCTTGGTCCGTACAGCCTATCAACATCTGATTTCGAGTGGTGCATCCTCATTATTATTATTATTATTATTATTATTATTATTATTATTATAGAAGTTATTATAGTGCGTAAGTGACACCTCACTTTGTTTACATATAATAAAATTAACGAATACTGGCCGATATATGTCTCCTATTAAAGTTGAAAATAATTTCTTAAAGTGAAAATACACTGAATTGAAATTTCGGAATCTTGTACGGTTAATGTACTCACAGATTTCTCAACTTTTTTGCTTTCCTAACAAAAGTCCGGCTTTTAGGATATTTAAAATAATGGCAAATACATCCATAAAACAGCGATTCTTGAGTTTTAAGAATGAAGGATTTTTCTTGGATGTTTTATTTTAGTTTTATATCCAAGCTAATCAAGTAAATGTAATGTTTCCAATTAGCAAATTACCTTGACATATTTCAAGTCGAATTTAAATTGATTTGAATGATTTTTTTGCTGAGTAACAGTAAAATTGATGAATTCGACAATATTAACAAATCTGTAAACAGCATATTTTTTTTAAATAAGAAATCTTTAAAATATAAAATAATAAACAGATGGAAAGTTTGCTTAATCTGAATTGGAATAAATATTACTTTTAGTTGAAATTATCACAGAAAAGTATTTTGTGTTACAGCGGAAGTTGTTTTATGCGGTACTGACACACTTATTTTTGTTTGGGAAATTTATGGAAAGAGAAAATAATTGTAATAAAATTAGAATTCGAATACAATGTAAACGTCTTTCTTTATATATTTTTAAATCGTCATCTTAAAAAATATTTTAAGTATTCTAATATTTTATCGAATTTTAGGTAGTTTAGATTTATAGTTTTATTAAGGCACTTGTTGAGGAATTTTTGAATATAAACAATAAATTTTGTATTGACTAAATTTAATAAATTCAAAATTCTTTTTAAATTACTGGGCCTCGCTGAATTGTAGTAATCTATTTTATTTATGATTAGTAAGATTATAATTGAGAAGGTATGGTGTAGTAATGGATAGCAGCTCGGATTGAGGAATCTGAGAGCCGAGTTTGGATTTCAGTCGATTCCATTACGTTCACTTACGTAGGGGACCTATGAGTCCTCTACTTCTCCCCCGGGGTCTATAGCCTTGGATGGAAACTGGTCTAACGCAGAAAGACATGACAAGCTATTGAGAGAAAGTCATGTATCGGAAGATAAATGATTACCTGAGCGTGTGTCACTCATGGCAGATAACTGACTGAAATTCTTAATTTAATAACAATATCACTTGACCCCTAAAAATTAGTACAATTTTTGTAAAGAATTAAAAGTTTATAAATTATTTTATTGGGTTATCCAGAAAGATTTAAATGTTTCTACATTATTTTATTTGGTTGTCAGGGTTGCCAAGTTTTAGTCGTTTTTGTTCCAGCTCAAATGTATCGACAGATATATGCTTACATTTCCGATTAGAGCCCATTTCAAACTATCCCTTGAAAAAGTAAGTTTAAAATTACTTAATTCGTGTCAATTTTGTATCCCTACGAATATTGTTAGGTGCATTTTAGATACTTGATGATTTTTTTTTAATTTTTACCATAGAGGCAAAAATTCCTCGCAAGGAACAAAAAAGATATGTGTACACATATCTTTTTTGTTCCTTGCGAGGAATTTTAGAATAAAAGTGTTTTAACTGACCGAAATAGTTCGCGAATATATTTGGTGATTGTAGCCTTATTGATGAAGAATGCTCAAGCAGACCCCTCTACAGATGACGACCAAATCAAGATATTGATTGAGAATAATCCATATTACACAACGTGGGAATTGGCGGAAACACTAAATTTATCAAAAAGTACGACCAATGAGCAGTTAGTGAAGCTTGCTTGCTCATATCGTCACGATATTTGAGTACCACATGATCTGAGTGAAAAGAATATTTTGGTCCGCATTTAATCTGTGACTTGCAATGAAAGTGCATCCTTGTTTAAGCAAATTGTGACGAGTGATGAAAAATTGGTCTTTTTCAACAGTATTCAGCGTAAAAGATCCTGGAGTAAGCGATATGAACAAACTTTGACCACCTCCCAAAAAAATTCCTGCTGTGCATCTGTTGGGATTGGAAAGGAATTCTGTACTATGTGCTTCAAGTATAAATGTGTTGTTTTCAATCAGGATACTGCCAGGCCTCACGTTTATTTGGAGACCTTCCAAAAATTGTTGCAGCTTGGATGGTATATGTTAGCCAACCCGCCATATTCACCAAGCATTGCTCCTGCGAATGTTATCTATTCAGGTCCTTACATAATAATCTCAATGGTAAAAATTTTAGTTTTTTGATGACAGAAAAAACTGTTTTCTTTAACCAGCACAATTATGAAAACCATAAGCTTATAAATACCAATAATTGTACTCTTAGTTTTAGTGCGGACTCTTTTACCATCCTTAGCAAGTCCCACTCAAATTACCACCTAAAAGTGTTGGAGGCCATCTATATTCTATCTTTAAAGCCTTCTCTTTGTAAACAGAAGGACTTTATATCAGGCCTCCAAATAATTATCATTTAATAATTTTTTCCCACCAATAAACTTTGTCCATTGTCCCTTTTTTATTATATAATTTACTTCATTTACCTCGATTTAGCTCTGTTGAGCAAGGTACGAACCCGGTTAGCTAGTCCGTTTTTCATTTTTACTTTTTATTATCATGAGTGGTAATAATAAAACTATTTTTAGTTTTTAAGACATTTTCCCTATAAGCATATTTAAACGTTATATCTATATGTTGACACTCATTCACACCCACAAGGACACACATACACACATACAAGTAAAAGGAAAGTGGGAATACAATGATAACTACATATAAATAAAAACGGGCTAAAGAGATTTGCTTATAGACAAAATACAGAATCAGATTAACCAAGTAAGGATACAAATAAAATAACTAGTTAGGCAGATTCTGTGCTATCCCGAATTAAGACAGATTAGATATCAACCTACTAAGATCAAGGACTGAAACGTTGCAATGACGGATTCTTGACGTGTTTCCTTTAGGCACAAATGTGAGCTTTCCAGGAATGCATTCGTAATCTGAACTCACCTTAGTAGAGTGTATTAAATATTGGGAGTGAAAAGACTGTGAAAAGTGAGGTTCAAATAGACAACAAAGCACGTGTCTATGAAGGCACGCAAACATCTATTAATAGATTGTCTTATTTCGATTAAAATCGTTTGTTTCGAATAACAACTTTGCACACACTCGGTCAAACGCTGATGGCTTGACTAACATTGTACTCGTATTACAGTATTATATCACATCAAACGAGCGTCAGGTAACTCTCTCTCTCTCTCTATATATATATATATATATATATATATGCGTGTGTGTGTGTGTCTCTCTCTCTCTCTCTCTCTCTCTGTGTGTTGTGTGTGTAATAAAATATTTATGCTATATTTAGGGGTAAAAGTGCTAAATATACACGATAAAGCAGATGGGAATATAAATGTGACCTCAGTATCCACGTTTAGATTTTAGACAGTTCACACATTTATATATATATATATATATATATATATGTGTGTGTGTGTGTGTGTGTATGTGTGTGTGATTAAGAAAGGAACAAATAGAAAAAAAATTATGAATTTAGCATGATTCTCTATAGAGATCCATCAACAAATTTTGTGAGTTTGTAATAATGCGTATATTCATAGATTTTTTTTTCATTGGTTGGAACACATCCAGACGCCATGAGGTAGCAATGTGACGCCCACAAAAAATTGATGCATACACACATGGTTACTAACGACATAAAATGAACACTTGACATCTACCCAACCAATGAAAACAATTCGCGACATAATATAAAATTCGAAACATTTCCAAATTATTCAACACCCAAAACAGTTTCAGAAACTAAATAAATAGCCAAATATGATCAATTGTTTTAAAAAAAAGTTTGTTTGGTTTTTTTTTTTACTTTCCCTTATTTAATAGTTTTGTCGGGTTTAGTTAATATTTTTTTATATATTTATATATATATATATATATATATATATATATATATATATATATATATATATATATATATATATATGTATGTGTGTGTGTGTGTGTGTGTGTACGTGAGTGCCCGTGCACGCGTGTATGTTTAAAAGTCATACTTCAAGCGTTATTGGGAAACCATCATACTTCAAGACTTATTGGAAAACCGTCGTTATGCTAGCAACAATAGTAGCTCATCGCGCTGTCATAGTCCCATTGCTGATCTCGCCAGGTTATGCGTTCTCTCTCTCGGAAAATATAGCAAGAGTCTACTCAACAAAGTAATACCATAAACAACACGTTGGCTATATCGGTGTTAAACATAAAAATGGATTTGAGTAGATGTCTGAACTCAACACGGATTGTCAAGTCATCTATTCATAGGTGTATATTCGGAAATGAGCAGCCAGTAATTACAAGATAGATAGATAGATAGATAGATAGATAGATAGATATGAACAGAGTTAGAAAGATAGACATGAACATACTGAGAGAGATCGATATGAACAGATTGACACAGATAGATAGATAGATATGAACAGGTTGAGAGAGATAGATATGAACAGAATGAAATAGATAGATAGACAGATAGATAGATAGATAATGAATAGACTGAAATAGATAGATAGATAGATAGAACAGACTGAGACAGAGATATGAACAGACTGAGAGAGATAGATATGAAGATAGATAGATAGATAGATAGATAGATAGATAGATAGATAGATAGATATAAACTGACTGAGAAATATAGATATGAACAGACTGAGATAGATAGATAGATAGATATTTGATGTTTTGCCTGACTCAACAAAATATAAAAAATACATTAGCAGAATTAGCTTAAAATGCTTTAAGATTTCACTTCAAATTGGTTCAGAGGAATATTGTACCACTTCATTCTTCCAATCATGTTGTTTTTAACATTAACGTTCGAAATGTAATATATTGAGTCCGAAACATCGACTAAATCCATTGTTAAAGAAAACAAGGCAATGTCACACGTAACACGCTTCATCGTAGACGATAAATAGCTGAAGAAAAAATATTAGCCACATGAAATGGCAAAGATATCCACCTACGTCCTCGTTGACCATACTCTAAAACATTGCGTTAATGACAGTTTAACCATCCATAAAATGCTATCAGTAATAGTGGGTATCTGGTAACATTACGACGTTGTAGCACGCAAATTTTGCCCTCCCTGAACGTGAGGTCCTTTTCGTAGGAAAACGACCCAGCAGTCGTTGTAAGGAGTGCTTGTTAGAATTTATTTTTGTAAAGCAAAATCAAGTTAATACGAACATTTAAATAAGTTGGAGACCCGAAGACGCAATGGAATAGCAAAAGATGGCTTTCAAAAGCACAGCAAAGAATTAAGAAACAGGAAAATTTCCTTAGAAACAAAGAAAAGTATACGAATATATGTAGCAGCATCTCCTTGATAACAGTGAATGTTGGACAATTCACTCACAAATGAAGATGAAATGAAGAAAGAGTATATGTGGGACTAACAGTTCAGATTTTAGACGTGAACTTTCAGTGTACCCACAAATATGATTTGATTAGTGCTGATGCTTTTTAGAACCAACTACATTTGTGACACGATGTATCCAAACTGCCCTCATCAGGTTGGAATACAGAGTTGTCCTTCTATAAGAGAGGTTACTAAACACGGCAAAGTAAACAAACCTGTTCTATTTAATCCATAACTGGAGGGAAAGAGGTGGATACATACACTTCCCAAGGCTATTTGTAAATAATTCAACCTATTTTTCATTCTAGATTACTATCAATTATACTAATTGACTAGCATATACGTATAAGTAATAATAATAATAATAATAATAATAATAATAATAATAATAATAATGGGCTTGCCCTAAAGAACACAACGAAGAGGCAGATTGGATTGCGCAAGAGTTAGAACGAATGAAAAATAAACCAGAACAGACATGGGCGGGAATCACAGAAGAAGATGTTAAATGTGCACTGAAAAAAGCACACAACTGGAAATCTCCAGGAATAGATAAAATTCCTAACTTCTGGCTATATTATTTAAATACAGCACAAAAAACTCGCCAAAGAACTTCAAGAAATGGTTACCGATCCAACTAAAATTCCTGCATGGATGACCAAAGGAGTTACCTTTCTTCTACCCAAAAATAGTGACACAAATATTCCGAAAAACTATAGACCAATTACATGTCTTCCAACAACATACAAACTGTTAACATCTATTTTAACAAAACAGACATATTTCTTCTTGGAAAGAAATGACATACTACCACTTGAACAAAAAAGGGTGCAAACGAGGCTGCTACGGATGTAAAGACCAATTACTTATTAATAGGATGATCCTGGAAAACTGCTTCCGTGAAAAAAAAAAAATCTTAGTATTGCCTGGATAGATTATCGTAAAGCATTCGATAGTGTACCACATTCCTGGATCTTAAAGTCTTTAAGTATGTACAAGGTATCACCCGTTATCATCAATTTCATCAAACAATGTATGTCGATATGGAAAACTACACTTTACCTCAATCATAAAAATGGAACCTATAAGTCTGGCGAAATAAACATCAATAGAGGAATATTTCAAGGTGACTCTTTGTCTCCTTTATTATTTTGCATATCACTTATAGCATTAACCAGCCAACTTAACAAGACAGAATGCGGTTACAAAATAGCTCAAAAGAAAATAAACCATCTATTTTACATGGATGACTTAAAATTGTATGCTAGGAATGACAATGAGCTGGAAGGTCTTCTGCAAACTGTAAAATGCTTCAGTGAAGACATCGGAATGAAATTCAATTTGGATAAATGTGCTAAAGCTACAGTTTTACGAGGATCGCTACAACAAACTTCCTCTATTAGTTTAGACCCTGCTGTAACAATAAAAGATTTAGAACAAGGAGAAGCTTATAAGTACCTAGGTGTAAATGAGAGTGAAGGAATTCACCATAAGAAAATGAAAAGAAATAGTGCGTAAAGAGTACTATAGAAGGGTACGACTGGTATTAAAAACTGAATTGAATTCTCAGAACAGAATTATGGCCATTAATAACCTAGCCATCCCAGTGGTCCAATATAGTTTCAACATCTTGAACTGGACTCTAAATGACATCAGACAAATGGATTCTAAAAAACAAGAAAGCTTCTTTCTAAGTATAAGATGCATCATCCAAAGGCTGATGTAGACCGTCTATACATACCCCGTAAAGAAGGTGGAAGAGGTCTTATTCAGCTAGAATTGTCATACAAGACAACAACTATTGGCTTACTAAGTTACATGGAAACAACAAATGACTGGATGATAAAATTAGTGAAACAACATGAAAACAGAAAGAAAAAAATATTCAATAATAAAAGAAGGCAGTAAATACAAACAACATTTACATTTAGTAGATTCTGTAGTAAATCAAAACAGAAGCCAAGAACCAACTATTGCAGCAAAAGATATGAAAAAGAAAGCCAAGGATAAAGCCCTTGAACAGATGAAACAACGCTGGCAAGACAAACCTCTGCATGGCCAATATCCAGAACGTGCAAATAAACCCAATGTTGATAAAGTTAATACTCATCGATGGTTACGAGCATCTGGATTAAAGTCTGAAACTGAAGGCTTTATTCTTGCAGCGCAAGACCAGAGTCTTTTCACTAGGAATTTTCAGGCAAATATCATACATAATAATGTGGATCCAAAATGCAGGTTCTGTGACAAATACCAAGAAACAATAGACCATCTAATCTCAGGATGTTCTATACTTGCCCCAAATGAATATAAAAATCGTCACGATAGAGTGGGGCAATACTTACACTGGACAATGTGCAAACACTTTGGAAAATGTAAGCAAACACTGGTATGAACATCGGCCAGCGCCGGTTACAGAAATAGAAGATGTCACCATTCTATGGGATTATACCATCCACACAGACAGAAAAATTGAAGCAAATAGGCCGGACATTATTGTCAAAAACCAGAAAGAAAAAACTTGCCTACTAATTGATATGGCTTGTCCAGCGGATTGTAACATAGCAACCAAGGAATTTGAAAAACTATCAAAATACAAAGACCTGGAAATTGAAATAGAAAAAATGTGAAATTGAAAACAAGAATAATACCAGTGGTAATAGGTGCACTTGGAATTATAAAAATGGAACAAAACAACACATTGAAAGAATCCCTGGAAACCCCAGCTTAAGAGACATACAGAAAATTGTCTTATTAAGTACAGCACACACACTAAGGAGAACTTTGTCTATGTAACGCTAGCAACTTCATCGGAGATAAAAAAAAAAAAAAAATTAACATGAAATGTGGCCATAACAACACACCACGACCTGCCTTAGGTCTTTCCGCAGACTTGGTAGGTAGTGTGTCCATAGCAGAAATCGAATGATGATGATGATGATGATAATAATAATAATAATAATATAGACACACTGAAAGGATTCCTGGTACACCATGCTTTAAAGAAATACAAAACATTACTCACACAAAAAATTGCTCAATGGAAAATGTCATGATGCCATTTTCAACCTTAGGTCTCTGGTCGGAAGACGGAAAAAATGAGTACACACCAGAAATCAAAGGAATAATAATAATAATAATAATAATAATAATAATAATAATAATAATAATAATGATTATTATTATTATTATATAGCATAATTGTGTAATAATGTAATGTAAATAATGTACATAATACTAAAGGGCCGAAACGTTGTAATAAATATGGCGACAAAGATGAGGACAATAGTCCGAATAATGGAAATAATGTACATAATACCTCATCTCAGAAATAAAGACAGATACAAAAAGTCAGAGGTAAAATATTTATCTTCTTCAGTATGCCGTGTCTCTCCTGAACGTGGGTGACCATGGCTTGCCAAAAATTCTTATCCTCTTTAGCTCAATGTTTTTCTTTCTACGCTTGCTGCCTCACCATATCCTGTCATTTATATGTACAGGATCCTTAGGTAAATTACTTGTTGGTTACTGCTATTCTTTTTACCTTCACTATGTCAGTCAAGCAGGCATAATGATAGCGGCTCTGATTGAGGAATCAAATTCCAGTCAAATCCATTACATTCACTTACGTGCTAATAGCCTTGGGAAAGATAGGAATCATCTTCTCCCCCCAGCTATGGATAAATAGCAGGGCAGACCAGGTTCTATAGCTTTCGATGGCAACTGGTCTACTGTAGAAAGAAATGGCAACCTGCTGCGGGATCGTCTAAGCTTGTATCATGCATGGCACATAATTGACTGACTGACTCCGTATTTAGTAAGATTAATATTCAACAGGCATCAGAACTTTTAGGGGAAAAGCTTCAAGTTTGAAATCTGAATTTTACAACACCCTCTCATTTATACATACTTTTCCAGCCGAATCCATTACATTACACTTACGTTGGGAAAGGTATGAATCCTCTTCGTTCCCCAGCTATAGCAGGACAGACCGGGTTCGTTCCCCAGCTATAGCAGGACAGACTTAGATGACAACTTGTCTACCACAGAAAGAAGTAGCAATCTACTACGGGAAAAATCTGCCTCGTCAGTCATGATCACCTAAGCGTGTATCAAGCATGGCCCATTACTGACAGATCTCTTGTGAATGTCTAATTTTCCAAGCCATCTTTCCACATTTTACTTCCGAGAAATTTCAACAGTCTCTATTTGGTTCTAAGTATAAACGTTTTTACGTTATCATTTTCCTAAAATCTTCTTGTTCCATGTTCAGGCCATGAAATTCACAACATTTTTTCTTTAGAACTAAAGCCTTGTTGCCTAAAATCTGTTCATCTGTGAGAAAACTATCCAAAAATCAATGTCATAAAAAATAATTATTAGCTAGAGTTATTATAATTCTACTAATAATTATTCTCCGTAAAACCAAAGACTTTTTTTTTACTAATGTTTAACCAGTACAAGGCCCATGGGCCACTCAAGGTAGAGGATTACAGAGTGGAGTTGTATTAACCTAAAAAAGGTCAAGACAGTTAATTCTAGTCTTGAAGAGGTCAAGGTTTAATTAGCAAATAAAATTTTAGAGTTAGAGACGTTAGGAATATAGAGATGAAATAAACTTTAGAAGGAACTTGAAACGCAAACCTAAACAGGAAACAAGGATGAGCCTCTGCCTTTGTTCACAAGACCAGGGAGGAGTGTGAACCGGATTATAGGCAACATTTGGCTTTCATAAATATCTTTCTAGAGTACGCGCCTACCGAGTAGTTTTTATTTATTTATTTTTACACTTATTCTATTTAGCACCAGAAATAGAGCCTCACTTGAGATTAAAGCCCACAGTGATGGTGAAATGGGGCCTGCGAGAATATTCCGATAATTGTTACACCGCGGCAAATTCGCCAATCGTAAATGTTCTCCCACGAAGTGAAGCTGGGAAATCTTTAGTCAGAATAGGGGACAAATAACTTCAGCTAGAAAGAAACTTTAAGACGCACAAAAATGGTAGAATTCACGAGGAGAGTGGCAAAAAATACTTCTTGAAGAGGTTAAAAGATTCAGCTGTGAGCTGTAGACAATCCTTGTGTTCAGATCAAAGAATTCTGAACGAGATTGGCGCGCTCCCCAGCTGAGAACAACAGTTGTGCGTTCGGTGACGTCAGTCAGGTACTTAAGTAAATGAGAAAGAACCCCCACATGACATCAGCACGCACACACACAACCACTCTCACCACACGCACACAAACACATATATATATATATATAAACATATGTGTGTGAACATGTGTCTATTTTTTTAATAATGTATGCATATCTATCTATCTATCTATCTATCTATCTATCTATCTATCTATACAGGCACAGACACACACATGCAGACACAGACACACACACACACACATATATATATATATGAATATTTACATGTACGTATTGTCCTGTACATAAGAATAAATGCATATGAGTAAGTGAACAAAAATAATTTAAGCTAATGCATGTGCAAATGAATACATTTAAGAAAATATATTAATAAATATATTGTTGAAGAATATTTTTTCTTTAAATGAGTTTGCTAAAATGAATAATCAGGAGTCTCTCTGCATCGTCTGTATGTGTGTGTGCGCGCACAATTGGCATTACTTGAAAACATGATGTTGGTGTGTTTGTGGTAAATGATATCTAAAGAGTACACCGAATCTATCTATGTATTTGTATATATGTGTGTGTGTGTGTGTGTGTGTGTATGTTTGTGTGTATGTGTGTGCTTTTGTGGGTTTGTGTATATGCGTGACCGCACGTATTTAATCATTTCCCCTCCAGCCCAAGCAATAAAGCCACTAAGACGGAATATGAGAAAAAAATAAGCATTATTAAGGAAAGAGAACAATAAAAAAACTGGAAGAGGATAGGAGGTAATGATATATATATATATATATATATATATATATATATATATATATATATATATATATATATATATATATATATATTGCAATGGATTAACTCCAACAATTGTGTAATATATTTTACCTTAATATGTTATTTTTATAGATACAATTTATTTATGCCGTTAAAATAAATTACTTCTATAAATACAACGTATAAACAGAATATATGAGTGTGTGTGTGTTTGTGTGTTTAAGATGTGTGTACGTGTGTGCACGCCCGTGCGCTTATGTGTGTCTGGCTTGCGTTTCAATTTGCTGAAACTGAAGAATCTTGTTTGATCATATCGCTTCTATTTCTCTCGCACGCACACATACGCACTCATGCACCCGCGTATGATAATATATACATTGGTATATACTATGAATGAGATAGATAGATAGATAGATAGATAGATAGATAGATAGATAGATAGATAGATAGATAATAAATAGACTATGTATGATAGAAAGAAAGAAAGAAAGAAAGAAAGAAATATTCGGCCATGAAAATACGGTATTCAGAGTTTCATCTGATAATGATAAATTCCATCCTATCGTTTTAAAGCCTTCTTGATAGAGAGCACATTTGTGCATACACACATGCATTCATCCACATATGTACATACCAACAAACATACATACGCATACATGTGTCTGCGGCAGTAACTTGTTAATTTGAAGATTATTCATATACCCTCTTCTGAATTATTTACACTATTTATATGCGGAATATAATCGTCATTTTGTTACTGTTATCTAAACATTTCGGCCGCATCCCAGAATTTCAGACAAAATCTATTCTGATTTATTTTTGATTATTTATTTAATTATAATTATTAATTAATCAGAATAAAGAGGAATATGAATTGTGCGTAAATCTCAAGAAAAATTTGCGCTTTAGCCGAGAATAGAATAAATCAAGGAATATATACGTAACTCTTGATAAATTGTCATTATCGAAGTGCTTAGATCTATTCTAACATGTGCAATCTAGAAACTCACGGAAAGGATCTGGAATGCAAAATAAAATCAGCAAGATTAATTATGTGAATAATACAGTATAAAAAAGACTTGCTGACACTTAATCTTTTAAAATAGACACCAGTTACTTCAGATGTGGAAAGCTTAACGTGCACCAAATCTAATTCAATTTGCGCAGCTGATGTGGTTGGTCCATCATATGATGCCCCCCGACCGTGAAATATGATTGCTGCTTTTATTTTAACTGTTTATTAAGGCAATGAGTATAAACAAAATTGAACACAGTAGGTGGAGTATTTCCAGTTCCCAACCAAACGAATTCACTAGCAGTAGCGACGGCGACATTTAAGGCTGGCTTTTAAAGATAAAAAAAAACAAATATTCATGTATGGTAAACCGGGCAAGAGGTGGTTGTGGGTCTGCGCCAAAAGTCACTGGGGGTGCGCATTCGGAGTAAGTGCCGAAGTAGACATGAAGATAGGGCAGCCAAGAACAAACGGGTTGAGGGCAGGATACTACAAAAGTCGGGGCGGTATATGATTTGATGACGGCTGGTGATGATATTTGCATCCTTGGGGGTTCCGATAGACGTATAGGATGAAAGAAATTGCTAAAGTGCAAGGAAAATATAACAAAAAGCAAGAATATGTAAAGCCAGCCCAGGGTTAGAGAAAGATATGATGTAGAAATAGAGATAGAGGCTGGCATTAAAATATACTCAGTCATTGGTACAAGACTGGAATTAATCAGTGGAAAAATTGAAAACGGGTGTGTCATCTTTATTTAATTCAACAGAAGTGGCTTAGTTTATTAGCTCTAGTCAAATAGCCGTCCTAAGAACAGAGAACAATTATGTTGTCAGATTATTTCTCTTACCACTCTACACGTTCTGTACAAACATTTCCAGCAAGACATCTATTTTCTGAAGTTCCATTTGTCATTATTCACTTGAATTTCCTAGATTTAGCCGCAGAGACCTTACCACAAGATAAAAATTTGAATAATTTTCTAATGTTTATATTATTAATAATAATAATAATAATACGGTTAAGAAAAGAGTGTGATTTAAGAAAAGAAAACGAAAAGAAAAAAGACATAGTGTTTGACAATATTTCAACAGAATGTCTGCCTTCTTCAAGTTATTATTTTTAACATTTCAAACATAACAATCTAGAACAAATTATATGTCTTTCTACTGAGTTTGCTTGTCTAAGATTTTTTACTGATTCAATAATTGCGGCACAAGGACGAAAAAAGTGAGGTAAAGATTGATCATTACAAGCTAGCTTATACCTAGCTAATCGGAATCACGTCCCATTCATTCGTTACATTATACGTATGCACCGTAAGAATTTATCCGTCACCATTCGCTCCTTCATACACCAAAATAGGTTGCTTGTCTTGTAATGAAAAAACGACTTTCCTGGTAATGTGCGCGTCAAAACGAATGAAACGCCGTCAGCGATCTGACGCGTTCATTAACAGCCGTACAGCCGTTTTTTTTTTCATTCTTTTGAAAGCACGAACTGTTGAAAAATATTGGAAGACTTACGTCAATCATTTTGTTTATTATTATTATTATTATTATTATTATTATTATTTCGATATCTGCTATGTCACACTACCTATCAATCTGCGGGAAGACCTAAGGCAGGTAGTGATGTGTTGTTATGGCGAGAATTCATGATTTGTTTTATTAACTCCCATAATTTTATTATTAACAACAACAACAACAACAATAATAATAATAATAATAATTTAGCATTTTTTTCACTTGTTTAAATAATTCGGTACAGTTTTAAGATATCTAATTAAACAGATTATTTTGACTTATTTAGACAAATCGGAGCTATTTAAGCATATGATTGACTTTCCGAGTCTGATCTACCAGAACATCGATATCACTAGATGGGAAATAAGAGTTGAGAAAAGTCTTTACATTGAAATATACATTAAAAATAGATATACACGGAATAAAACAAGAAAAAGTAGTCTTTATATGTAATATATTATAATAATATACTAATAAAAATAATTACATATGAAAAAAAATAAAGGAAATTATTATTTTAACTGATACTGTCATTGTATACAGTTTGAACATCATTCAGAAATGCAAGAAATAAATGTTGCGCGTTGGATCGCATAATTTTTCAACAGATGAAATTCAAATAAGATTTTGATGTTTGGACAGATACACTTCTCAATATTTTCATGAGTATGTAGATAAGATTCTTTAAGGTAGATTAGATATTTATGAAGAATCCTGTACGTAGATTATATATTTAATCTATTTTATTTAAAAAAAAAAAAAAGAAACTATCATACTGAAAACCTTTTGGAAAATCTTACAGTCAATTTAGCCCAAATAAAATGGCGTGTTTTCCTTTTGATCTTGACAATACAACCGAAAGTTTAACTTTGTGGTGATCGTAGCCATTGATCTCCATATATCATCGTCCAGACCTGTGTCCTCGAAACGTTATCCCAGTCTCAGCAAGTGGTTAGAAACACAACACAGACATTATCTCCCCAGATAAATGGATGCTTACTACTATTATTAATAACTATTTGGATCGCATCAATCTAGAAGAGATTTTAAAGTTTGGATAGGTGCATCTCTCATTTTTATTTTTAAGAATACGAATTTTAGCGTCTATCCAAGATTTTTCGATACACTGAGTATGGATTCCATCTTTAAGGTTTATAAATAATTTGCTTGTAGAATTTTTTTATGCACTGACTTGTTGCAATAAACGATTGGAATAATATTTTTTTTTTTTAAAAAAGTCTAGTTTATATACAAAATCCACCGGAAGCCTTCATTCACTGTTTACTATTTAGATGCTACTTAATAAAGTTGCGGGTGTAGATATCTTACTTTAAGGTGAATAACATATTTAAGAAGATGAGTCATGCAAGTAGATCATATATATATATATATATATATATATATATATATATATATATATATATATATATATATATATATATATAAGTTAGCACCAAATCTGTTTTATTTTAGAAACCTATAATTAATACTGAAACACTTTCCGGCAACTAAATTTGGTCCAAATAAAATGGCGTGTTTTTCTTGTGATCTTGACGATACAACCGAAAGTTTAACTTTGTGTTGATCGTAGGCGACGGTCTCAATATATCATCGTCCAGACCACTGTCCTGGAGAAGTCATCCTAGTCTCAGCAAGCGGTTAGAAACACAACACAAATATTATCTGGCGGACGCTTACAACTATTATCGATATTTGTTATGTTTGTTTCTTTATTATTAATACCAGATTTTTCTTTCGGATGTACATAATTTCCTTAAGGTAGACCATATATTTGAAAAGAATCATGCACGTAGATGGCATACTTAAATAGAATCAATAATTCTATGTAGTGTCACGAACTTGCTAAAAAAATCCCGCAAAACCATTTTAAATAATTTAAATGTCTTCTTTGGACATAAACATCGGTTTCATGTAAAAGATATTAGGTCAAAGCTAGGTACATCCACTAATTCGGGACAAATTTTCGATACCTAATGTTTAAAAATTATATGGATTGGAATCTCAACTTTTCGGACGATTAAAGAATTTTTTTTTAAAGCCCCCATTTTATTAATTTTACGAAATTTGTAAACAAAACAAATTTATCAGATTAAAAAATCTTCCAAAAATAAAATCAATATTTCTGACACGTTATTTGAGTAAAATTAGCAAACTTAAAGTTAAATTAATCTGATTTGAAATAAACATTACTTACTTACAGCATGAATATATATATATATATATATATATATATATATATATATATATATATATATATATATATACACAAGCATTTCTTCACAACGATGATTTTGAGGCGATTATTGATGTATTGATAAGTTACGAGGTGATGACAGCTTGTATGGATGGCCAAAATTAACATAAATTTACGAAATCTAAGTGAATGCATTTTTTTGTTTTTTATTATCTCGTAATTTTTAAAATGAACATATTTTCAGCAATTATCTAATAATTTATTGACTTTTATTTAAATTTCGAAGATATTTTATGAAAAAATAAAAAAAAAATTAAATACTATAAAATTTTCTTAAATAAAATTTAAAATGTAATAACAGATGAAATGTCATGTTAATAATTTATAATTAATAATTTGTGAAATGTTATGGTAATTTAATTATTATTAATTTATATTTTTAATATATTTTTCATTTTATTTTTATTATTAATTGTTATCATGACAATTATTTTATTATTTAATTTTTATAGTACTTTAAATTTTATTAGAAATGTCACTTTTAAAACACCATACTCAAAAAAGGAGATTTAATCACACAATAAATTATGTTTAATAATTGTAAAAATTTTAAACTTTTCAATTTTTAACTCTTCACTTGATAATTTACTAACCTAATTGTTGCGGTGTTTAGAAGAATTTTAAAACATTTTTTTAAATTTATAATTTAAAAAAATAAAAATGCAAACAATTCTTGTAAAAATTAATTATTTATCGTAATTTTTTTTCTTCAGATTATAATGTCCTTAATGTATATTATTTATAGAAACAATTAAAATTTATCTAATTAAATAATTAGATAGTTTTATTGCAGTTTTTGTTTTACGGTTTGGAGCAGATTTTAGGAAAGTTGGTATTAGGAAAAAAATTGATGATTTACATTCTCCAATATGTCCGGTTTTTAACTAATATAAAACCTTTTTGTTGCGCTTTTAAATGCTAGAAAATTTTATGAAATTAACGGGGGCGCGCAACAAATGTAAAAAATATATTTTAACAAGATATTCTAAAAATAATAATTAATAATTTCAAAAATAATTCAATCATTTGTGAACAAGTCTAAAAGTTGGATTAAAATCCGACAATTACTTGCTTTTTTTTTGGTGTGTGTGGGGGGGAGAATTTCCAAATTTGTTTTTCAACTTAAATATTACGTTACCACTGATAAAAACATCCAGATATTTAACGAAAATTTCGAACCTGCTAGAAAGTTAAACAAAAAATTTCAAAATAAATTAAAAATATTTTGGTCTTTCCTCTTAATAATACTATAAACATTTTGGAAATAAAACTTTGTTTTTATTAAGTTTGGGATCTTTTACATCATGTTTATTCAGCGAATTAGTGGAGGTACCTAGCTAAAGCTAATCCGAATTAGGAGGAAAAATTAATTTTTTACGCATAAAGTTTTAGGCATTTTTGAAACGTTGGCGCGTTCATCGTCACTCATTGCCTCATCGAACCGCCATTATAGACAAAAAATGTAAACAAAAAATTTCAAACGCTCTTAAAATCTAATATTTGTCCTAGAGATGGGTTTGGAGTCTGTTATTAAATTTAAGGATTAATTAAGTGGATTGTGCAAACGTAATGTTTCCTTTTGCTTAAAACTTAATTAATAACGTATATTAACTGACTGTAGCCTATTTATAAATATTTCTTTCAATCCCTCTCTGAAAAACTGCGTGGAAAATTAAAAAATAAAGATGTATGGAGAGAAGCAGTGCAATAATCAAACAACTGGTATTCATGTTTTAAAATGAATTACCTTTAACCTTATGTAACCAATAGTTTAAAAATATAATTGTTTATTCTATAAAGTTTTAGGAATATTAGTAAAATTAATCATTAATATTATATTAGAAGTAGTTTTTTATAGTTAAATTGATACTTTTAAATTTAATACATTGCTTTTATTATTATGTTTTTTACCTGTTTGATGCTATAAGATATATCCTTGCATCCAGTGGGTTTATTCTGAAGTATACTGCATTTAAATGATATTGAATTATCATCTGTTGGTCAGAATTTTGGACATCCATAGAAGAATAATTTAACGTTTACTAAGATTAAATAAAAATTAAAACATTCGAAAATGACATTAAACTTTACATTTTTCGATTCATCAAACATGACTTTATTCAATTAAAAAAAATCTTCTTACTAACAGCAATGGGATGATTTTCAAAAACATTTTTAATTAATATGAAGTGTTGATTTTTTTCTATGCAATCTGAAAAAAAACGTATTTTAATAAAATTACACATTATAAGAAAAATCTATATTTGATTTTTATTTTAAATATATATTTTATAAAACATTGATATTGCAGCAATCTTTTACTGAAATAATATCTTCAGTTATTTTCCTTTTCATAACCGTAAATAAAATTCAGGAATATGCCCAAATTAAAAAGTTTACACAAGATACTGAACAATGTGTGTAGAAAGAGACACCGAACTCAATAGCATTAATGCTTGAATCGGATAATACCTTGATTTTTCGCAAATAATTTAATCTCATAGACGATAACTCTTATTATGATGATCATTGTAAGTTTTCTAACTTACGACTGAATTTTTTATCTGTCTATTGAGATGAGGTGCATTATTTACATTATTTGGACTATTGTCCTCATTTGTAGATTACGACGTTTCGGCCGTTTGCCCTCCGGCCTTCTTCAGGTGGTTGAATGTCAACTGAACCTTTATTTCAGTCACTATTCTAGTTCCATGTGCCATGTTTCATAGGATACATTGATAACTGACATCCATTAAACATGGCACATAGAATAGAATATATGAGCGAAATAAAGGGTTCAGTTCGACATATATATATAATAAATATTGACAAAGATATAATCGAATAGAAAAATAAAATTATTTCTGTAGAAACACAACAAATTAAATCAACAGAATATAACATATAGTTGACTATTTTCAAATATTTGAATTAAAAGTAATTAAGACAGAAGAAATATTTATTAAATATGCATTTAAAAAGCGTTAATCAAATTAAATGCCCACGCTTGTTTTGTAAAGGCCATTTTGGTAGTAATATATAAAAAAAAGACAGGGCTAGAAAAGACGCGAGATCCTTTATTCTATTAATGTAAGGTGGGACATCAGGAAATATTACTCCAATTTATAACGTATTTGTTTGTTTAAATCTTTGTAGTTGATCCGTTTTAGGCCAAGAACATTAATATACACAATAAAAATAGAATTTTATTTTATAAAACTGGATGATACCTAAAACAGATTACAATTCGGCATTGTTATATATCGTGTTCATTAAATGTTTAAGTTAGAGAAGTATTTTTGTTAAGAATCTAGATTGCATACATCAGTATGTATGTATATACATTGACAACGACAATAATACATATATATATATATATATATATATATATATATATATATATATATATATGGTGATTTTCCATGTGTAGCTTGATATAGCACAAGGCCGAAAATATGGGGCACTCAGTGACGATTGAGTAATCATTTCGATCCTCACTGAGCGCCCCATATTTTTGGCCTTGTGTCATATTTAAGCTACGCTTAGAAAATCATTATATATATATATATATATATATATATATATATATATATATATATATATATATATATATGTGTGTGCGTGTGTGTGTGCGTGTGTGTGTGTAGCTGATCTCTTCTCCGATATAGCATATCAATGGCATAAAATTAGCAGGTCACATTAAATGCTTCGAACCAACATAGTTACATTCAGTCATCGCCGATCGAACCCTTATTTAACACCAGTCACGTTGAATGGATATTCCCTCAGGGTGGCCTCGTGCAATGAGCGATTATTGGGCCTAAAACACAACCCAGACCTGAAGTGGAACTCGCACATACGATCCGTCGCGGAAGATGCAGGAAAAAGAGTCGGTTCCCTTTACCGCTCTAATAAGTACCAGACTCCTCATGCTATCATCTATCTTATAAAAAAAAAAACTATCAGGTCTAAAATTGATTTCTGCTGTCATATTTGGACAGGATCCGCCCAGTTCTTACTTTGCCGTCTCGATAGAGTCCAAAAGCTTTTACACGTTTTCCTCTGTGACAAATTATTTTTTACCTTGCAATCCTTCTCTCACAGACGAGATATCGCTAGCCTCTCACTACTCTATCGCTATTTGCATGGAAAACGCTCAGGTGAATGTTATCCCTTAGTTGCACCAGATCAAACATTCATGGCTAGGACCAGCGATGCTATGCCCATTGTAGCCAACCGCCCTCATTCCCATCGTATTTCATTGGTGAAAAGTAAGTTCCACAAAAGCAACTTCTACCTGCGAACAACTGTTCTGTGAAACCCAATTCCAAGAGGATTTATTCAACCTCCTCAAGTCTAGGGTTAACCGTTATCTTCCCCACATAACTGCATACTCTGTGCCTCTTAATATCGAATATTCTACTTCGAGTGTCTCCTGGTAGATAGATAGATAGATAGATAGATAGATAGATAAGTGTGAATATATGATAAATAACAAGATATTAGCAACTGTATATCCGTGCATACGCAGATAAACAAATAAAAATTTAACAGGGCTTAATGTAGTTAATAAATACACATATAGCTATGTTTGTACTGCAATTTAAATTTCATGTTTTCCCAAGACGTCAGGCAAAAATGGCAAATGAGCCACTTATTACAGTTGTTTTTTTTTTGTTTTTTGTTTTTTTGGGTTTTTTTTATCTGGGTCCCACGGGATGAACGCTGAATTATACGCAGATTCAAAGCGTAAATTAATATAAGTCCAATATATTATTGGGATGTAAATTCAAAATATACAATGTATGACGGGAGATATTGAGAAAAAATGATGTAAGCTTAAAGCTTATATGCTACTTGTTTTTTTTTTCCTTTAGGAAAACAAAGATATATTAAAAAATTATAAAGTTTAAGGTGATATAAGGTTTTATATGAATAAAAAGGAGCGGGTAAATGTGGTGAATTGTATTAATGCTTATCAATAATCTTTATTTTAATAGAGTAACACTGTACAGTATATAAATCTAACCTTTAATAATATTAGGACATAAACTAAAATTAAAATGTGTAGATAGACAAGAAAGCTAAAAGGTGAGAAAAAATTAAAAGGAAAAGTTTAAGAAAAGAGGAACGCTGTGTATCCCATAACGTATTAATAAAGGCTTAAATGGTTAAAGGGGAGTAATAAGTATTTAACCTGAAATATTTAATGGGCAGTTGAATTTGGGTAAAATGGTCTATCCAGAATCAAAATAATTTAAGAGAGCTTTTTTTATGGGTACAACCTATCATGAGATCATTACGTTTGTTGAGCAGGATTGGGCATTATTTTTTTGTGAATGAATCTTTTTTCACGCAAACAGAGATTGCATCGGTCACCGCAGTCGGAAAAGGGTGTAGATTTGGCGAGGAACGTCTAATCTACTACTAGTGTGTAATTATTTATTTTAATTTCCCAGTAAAAATTTGACAGTGGTGTGGCATTTGAATATTGTTTATTGGTAAGAGTTTTTTTTATGATTGCAATACCGGGTTTTGCAGTGGATTGCAGTCGAACCAATATATATATATATATATATATATATATATATATATATGTGTGTGTGTGTGTGTGTGTGTGTGTGTGTGTGTGTGAAGTATTTGGTATTTTTCAATCAATCACATTTTAATACTTGTTTCTTTGAACAATTCAACAGTATTGTTCCTTAAATATTTAATTTTTCTTATATAAGTGCTTAAATTTTGATCCTGTTGAATGTAAAAATAATCCTCAAAGTTGTTGATTCCGAGCGCTTTTGGCTAAACATTTAGACATCTTCAACAATTTTTGCTATATTTTGTCAATTAAAGCGCTATTTTAGACGGTAAAAAAGTTGACAATTTTTACATTCATTTATTCCATAAAAGAAAACGCTTATATGGATACAAGTAAAACTTAATAAAAACGTATTACACATACACATACAAACATACACACACACACACAAACACTCACACACACACACACATATATATGTGTATATATATATATATATATATATATATATACAAACAAACACACACACACACACACACACACACACACACACACACATATATATATATATATATATATATATATATATATATATATATATATATATATATGAGGTGTATTTATGTAGCAAGTAATCCTCAAAACAAGTAAATCTCGTTTATCATCTTTAAGAAAAAACAAAAAAATCTCGTTATTTGACCATAACTCTTATAGTTCAAATTACTTGAATATGACAAGAAAAAAATCATTACCCTATTCATAACTTCAATGCCGATGTATAACACCTCCTTCGAAAATTGGAAAGTTGAATATAGAGACTATGCCGGTGGAATTTACACGCACACACACCCGCGTGACGACGCGGGTGCGTATGTGAAAACATGCGAGAATTGGTAAAAAAAAAGGCCAATTTTGATTTATTTCAGAATAAATAAAAAATAAAAAAAACAATCTTCAGGATTACGAATCACGTGTACATCATATCCGACTTTCTTCTTTGTCGTAATATTCTGTCTTTGACTTCTGTACATATTTTTTTTAAATACTTGTTCGCCATAATTTGTTATACCTTAACTGCCATTATTGTAGATGGAGAAAGCCATAATATTTCCTTTACTATTTTTTTCTTTAAATTTATTTATATATTTTTTCAGCTATTTTACATTGAATTTGAGGCAGTTTGAAATTAAATGTATCATATAATTATATGTATGTATTTCTGTTTTTCGTGTCGACAATATGATGAAGCCTTGCAAGTTGGAAACACGTAATCTAAATTCATTGAAATAATTTTCCATTTGTTATATACTTCAAACTTTGTCTGCATTTTATCCTAAGCATGCAAAGAAAACAATAAGCTTGTAATTTCAGCGAGGCTGAATACAAACATGTTTGGCTTGATTGCATTTGCATGCCCTACAACTTTCCTCCGTACCAACATCTGTCTTCTCCTTACAGATGATGATCTGCAAGACATGTTTCAAACAAAACAGGTATCGACGGTAGGACGATAAGGCAGGTTTGGAATAGTTGGCTTGCTTCTTGTTGTTATGATTAACTTTCAGATGGTTTACATAACCATCTCTCCACAAAAGGTATGCGCTCACACGCAGTACAAATCTGCAGGTTTACTTGCAAATCAGAATGAGTTCTTCTTCGTAGACCACGCTTGATATCAGCATGCCTGAGACATTCATCCTTAAATGTGTTGCATCCATCTCTTATAAAGTGTCTCCATTCTGCATGATTTAAAGGCAATTTTTCTCAGTGCTGCACACCCATATACAATGCATTCAAGTTATCCTTCAAATTATTTTAAACCTTTTCCTCGGCTTGCTTTGGGAACGCTTTCCTCTATAGAGTTTCCCGTAGAAAAGTTGTTTGGGAATCCTGTTACACCCTATTCTCACAATGCGCCCTGCTCATGATATCTATTTGAGTTATTGTTTCAATGCCATTGTATTCGGTTTATTTGAGGGCACAATGTCTGGAATCTAAGACTACCATTTGATTTTAAGGAAGCGTCTCAGATATGTATTTGAAACGCTCGAGCCATTTTATGTCTCCTGTATGTTGTCAGTGATTCAGAAGACGTTAATTTAAAGGCCGTATACACACTTACCTCATTCTTGATGGTAATGTCCTTCTCTGACTAAACTCTACTTTCTAATTTACGAAATGCTTCACTTGCCTTCTGAAAGCGTGAAAATTCTCATCATCTAAGCACTGACCTTTAATATAGTACTTTCTGAATATGGTACAGTGTCATCAACGCCCAGCATCATGTTTTACGTAAGTATTTTTGGCTCTTTGTAGGGCACACCAAGTGGAAGATTGAACTTCCTCGGCCTAATCCTCAGACTAAAAGCATCACAAGCAGTAGAGAAGCAATCTATTCTGAGTAGCAAATTTTTCTCAGAGTGCGTTACAAAGACTGCCTCATCAGAATACAGTAAGTCTAGAATCAGGCACTTAATATTCTAGGATTTGCTGTTGGACATTCTATAGAACATTTTATCAAGAAAAATAAGGATATAAAGGTATATTATATAATTCCAAAATATAAAGATCAATAAACTTATTTTGATAAAGTTATAAGAATAATTATATAACATTCGAAAATAAATAGATGATCAAAAACATCAGAACGATTAACAAAATATTATAATGGATACATCATATCCAAATGAAAATAGCGTTCATAATTCATTAGTACTTGATGTGTAGACCTTTACTTGCAATAACAGCTTGACATCTTTTGCTACATGAGCGAATTAATGTCTTGCATTCATTAACGGATATTTTCTCCCATTCTCCTTTCAAATTTGTCCACAGTTCTTCGACGTTTGTTGGATTCTTTTCCTTAGCACTTTCATTTAGTAACTTCCAAACATTCTCATGTATGGCCTTTGAGCAGGCAACTTCATAACAGTAACATCCTACTCAGAAAGAAATGTCTGAACAGACTTCGTTGTGACACGGCGCGGTATCTTGCATAAATACAGCTGGTTGATTAATCGCACTTCTCAAATGTGGTACAACGTTTTTCTTCAATATCTCTTTGTATACAGTTGCGGTAATTTTACCGTGTAGCCCAATAGGAGGTCTCGTACCAGCAGATGAAGTCATGCCAAACACCATCACAATTCCTCCTCCAAATTTAAACCTGCTTTTAGTGCACTGAGGGAAATATTGTTCCTTAGGACTGCGTCGAACGAACCTTCTCTCTTCACTGCCGAACATTTTAAACATTGACTCATCGCTGAAATGAACACTATCCTACTGTGCTTCTGTCCATATGACGTGTTCAGTGACAAATTTCAATTGGCTCATTTGATTCTTTTTAGAAATGTAAGGTTTCATAGAGGCTACTCAACTGTTCAAATTTATTTTATTAAGTCTTCGGGAAATAGTGTGCCTTGATATTTTAATGTCAACGTTAGCACTATAGATAGCGGTTGCTGTCACAATTCGATCCTTTTTTGATTCATTAACAATCCATCTGTCTTTCCTTGCAGTAGTTTTCCTAGGCCTGCCAGGTGGTTTCTTGGCTTCACATGACCCACTTTCCTCAAGTTTTCTTAAAATACTAAGAATAAGACTTAGATTTCCCCACAGTCTTTGAATTATCCCCAATCGAGAGTTTATTTTTATTACATAATTTGACTATCAGTTTTCTATGTTCCAATGACATCACAGATTTTATACGCCATATATGCAATGCAAGAGCCAGTAAAGAGTCGGGGTAATTTAGCAAAATACCCGATTTTATATTCCTACCCTAAAGTTTTTCAATAATGCAAAATAATTATTAAATTTTATGGATTTATTTAATCGTTCTGATGTTTTTGATCATCTATTATTTTTCAAATGCTGTATATTTATTCTTATAACTTTATCAAAATACGTTTATTGAGCTTTATATTTTGGAATTATATAATTTACCTTTATATCCTTATTTTTCCTTGATAAAATATTCTTTGAAGCTT